ACACACACACACACACACACACACACACACACACACACACACACACATTTAGCAGAAAGAAGGTAAGTAGGTTAGTAAACAACTGAGCATCTCTCCGGGTTACACGAGGATCCTGCATGTGTGAAATAGATTTATTTAGTTCGACTGGGATTTTCTTCAGGCAAGTGCTGCTCAGATATCTATGTCAATGAATTTGCCTTCAAGTTACACAGGATCTCATCACTTTTTTTTTTAAAAGTGTGGAAGTAATTTAATATTTCAAGATGGTTAGAGTAGTATGTATACCACTGAATGTGTCTCATTAATAAAACCTCAGTCTATTTTTCGAAGTACTGCTCTTTAACAATGAAATCGGCGTCCTGAAATGTAAATTATGCAATGACACTAAACTGTCAAAAAAAAAGATGAAAAGAGATCTTTGCTATATTTAGGTTGTTTGTACAGTTATCACCATGTGTCACTTTGTGAAGCTGCTGTGTGTGTAATACTGTTAGTTTTTTGTTGTAAAATCTGTTGGTTAAAGTATTGGTATGGATTATATGAGGTGGATATTGGTCCCTAATAACTAGCTTGTGGTATGATTATGAGCCAGTCCTGCTGGTAAAGTTGAATTAAATCTTTAAAAAAAAAAAAGAGTTTTGGCTACTTTAAACTGTTACGCCAAGAGTCTGCTGAGACGATACAGATGCTTGATGTCTGATTAGCTATTTGAGAAGGGCCAATGCCGAACTTTTAGCAGTGACATGCAAAGGAAAGACATTTCTTTTCTGTGTTTTCAGTTTGCTATTTAATCTTCTTATCACGTGGAAACTGGAGCATTAACATGTCTTTTGTTTAACTTATTACAAGCTGAGAGGTGACATATAAATCACACTACAAGTATGTTTGTGGTTTAGAGCTGGCGTCATCTGAGGCCGTGCTGATGATGAGCCGGCATTGAGGCTTCAGTAATGATTAAAGCATGTAGCAGAATTGGTGGTGCATGTTTTATTTATTTGATCGTTGTCTAGTGGCTGCTTGGATGGTGCTTTCCTGATGCTTCTGCTTTCAGCTGTGATATCCGTTTCTGTGTTTTTCTATCTGTGTGTGTGTGTATGGGCACACAGGCTCTTCTTGACAGTATGTGAGGTGGCAGCTTGAAAATTTCTGCAACTACATAAATTCTGTATGGGTTAGGCACTTTTAATTATAACAAAGTGCTCTGGTTCTCTTCTCCGTTACTTCCCCCCCGCCCCCGTCAGCGTATCTCCCCTCTGCGGTTGCCTCTTCATGCTCTAACAGATTTCATGCATTATTTAAGAGCCGACTATGATGAGCTATTTGCTGCCATTCTCAGTCACCTTTCCCTCCCTCAGGAGCGGGCTTTGTAGCTTTGATGGCCATAGCTGACCCCGGTCAGACCTCCTTCACTGC